TATTCATGTTCAATTTTAATTGGCTAATACCTAATAAAATTTAATATTATTTAATAAAATAGATAATAGGTGTTACAAAATTAAAATTTAATGATTAAAATTATAAGTATGAATATAATTTTAGATATATTATATACTTAATTATAATATAAATAAAACTAAATAATTAATTAAAAGAAATGTTAGATACTTAAAATGCACAGAATCGGATACCACGTTACACATAAATACAAAATTTTGGACCAAAAGTTACATTTACCCAAGCAGAAAACATAGTTTTTGTTAGCTTCTCATAAAACCCCGAAACCTTACGTAAGGAGAGCGACGAAAGTCCACCACTCCACCATTGATATACCCCATTATGCATGAAGAAGCTAACGGTGACTCTCACCCGCCAAGGACCCTCCGTCAAAGCCCTCATATCACAAAACCTCTATCCCCGAGCTCTCAAAGCTTCTATCTCTCCACGCTATCCGTTCCTTACGGTCCAAATCTACTCTCATTTCATCAAATCAGGCCATTCTCTACAACCCTTTCTCTCCACCACTCTCATCTCCCACTTCGCCAAACATGCTGACTTCTTACGCGCCTTTTCCTTCTTTCTCGACGCCCCTAAACCCGATATAACCTCTTTCAACTCCCTCATCTCTGGTTTCGCTCGGCCTCGGTTTGGCCTAGCCAGGCCGGTTCTCGAGCTGTTTAATGAGTTGAGGCATCTGGGTTTGATGCCTGACGTGTTATCATTGAGTGGCTTAGTTAAAGGGTGTGATAGTTTAGAACAAAATGAGATTGTTCATGGGGTTTGTTTGAGATTGGGATTTGGAAATGGAGCTTTTTTGGTTAGTGGACTCATTGAGAATTATGGTAAAAGTGGGAACTTGGTTTCGGCTGAGAAGTGTTTTAGGGTGTGTCTGGGTGTTGATAATGTTGTTCTTACGGCTATGCTTTGTGGTTATTTTTGGAATGGGGAATTTGAGGTGAACATGTTTTTTTTGGAACTGAGGTATTTGGGTTGTGAATTGAATGAAATTTGCCTGACAGTTGTGATCAGTGCTTTGTTTGATGTAAAAGAGGTTCAACAGATCCACGGGTTTGGCTTAAAGATGGGTTTTTATGTGGCGGTTCCATTCATTTAAACAATGCTGTTATGTGCATGTATTCTTTGTGTGGAAGTAAGTTGGACGCCGTTAAGATATTTGATGAAATTACCGATCCAGATATTGTCTCGTGGACTGAAAGAATAGGGGCAACTTTTGATGGTTTTGAGGCTTTTGGAATTTTTAAGCGCTTACATTGTAAAGGTTTGGGTGTTAATGAATATACAATGATCAATGTCTTATCTGCTGTTTCAGCTGAGGGTTTGGTATGTTTAGGGAGGCAAATCCAAGCAGTTTGTCAGAAAGAAGGGTATTTCAAAGTGGTTTTTGTTGGCAATGCATTGATTTCTATGTATAATAGGTGTGGGAAATTGGATGATGCGAGATGCATTTTTGATGATATGGTCTTGGAATTCACTGATTGCTGGATATTCACTGATGATATGGTCTTGGAATTCACTAATTGCTGGATATTCACCGATGAATATGCATGGTCTTAATGTAGAAGTGAATATTGCTAGTATCCTTGAAGTGGCATCTGACTCAAATTCTTTGCACCTTGCTGTGCAGATACATTCCCGTATGATTTAATGTGGATTCATGTTGGACGATTACGTGGTGTCTAGCTTGATAACAACATACGGGAAGTGCGGTTGCTTTGATGAGTCGAGAAGAGTTTTTGCCGATATCGATGAGACGACTGTGATTCATCTTAATGCGACGTTGAGTACTTTGGTTAATGCTGATTGTCATGCTGATAGTGTAGATCTCTTCCAAAACATGGTGGGTTTGAAACTTGAAGTAGACTGCAATACTTTCAGCATCGTTCCTAAAGCTTGCAGTGCTATGACGGATCTGGAACACGGAAGAAACATTCACTCCCTGGCTCTTAAATCTGGATTCCATCAAGATTGCTATGTAGAGACTGCTGTTATTGACCTTTATTGCCAGTGTGGAAATATTGTTAATGCAGAGATGACTTTTAGTTATTTATCGAACTTGGCTGCATGGAATGCAATGATAACGGGATATGCTCAACATGGTTGTTATAATGAGGCTTTCGAGCTTTATGATAGAATGATCGTATGTAGAATTGAACCAGATGAGATAACTTATCTTGGACTTCTTACTTCATGCTCCTATGCAGGGCTACTGCAAGAAGCACAGAGCTATATGAACTCTATGGTCGAGTATCATAGTCTAACCCCACATTTAGAACACTGTGCTTGCATGGTCGATCTGCTTGGCCGGGTAGGTCTCCTGGAAGATGCAAAGAGTACGATAGATGAAATGCCTATCGAACCAGATGCTCTTATATGGCAGATTCTGCTATCTGCATGCTGCCTCCATGGAAACTTTGATACTGGAAGAGTTGCAGCGGGCAAACTTCTTGAGCTGCAGCCTGGTAACAAATCTGCCTAATTCTTCTTTCAAATCTCTGTGCTTCGGCTGGTATGTGGACTGCTGTCAGAAAATTGAGAAGAGAAATGAAGGAAAAACTACTTTGCAAGGAACCTGGTCCTAGTTGGATTCAAGTAAGAGGATTCACGCATTACTTTTTCGCTGATGACATGTTGCACCCTAAACGTAAAGAAATATTTTTGGAGCTGTTTACACAAACATATGCAAACTTCAAAGACAATTGAACACGATTCACTTTTTCATTGGATTTATGATTATTGAAAGGGAATCGTTATCATTGCTTTTGGAACTGAGAATATAGGTGCTTTGATGTTCTAAGTTATAGTCCGTCTTCCTTATCTGTCAGGGAATTTGATGTGATGAACTTTGGATTTTGGCAAGTTGAATCAAAACTGGCAATTTAACTAAAATTCTAAGAACTTAATACACAGAAGAAAAGACGGTGGAGAAGAAGGATTGTTTCAATGCATTGATAAGGTAATTGGGTCCAGGGACACTGGCAACCCTTCCTTCTTTAACACCTCTTTCCAGCTTCCCAATGGAGATTCCTTGATTCAATTCGAAGGTAATGAAAGAGAGCCTTTTCTTGGTGTCAAAGGTAAACTTTTTACTTTATTCCTTGCTCTACCATGTCATAAGCCATGAATCCTATTTTAATTACATGCTTTCAATACCTGAAAATCACTTTCCAAAACTTATTTTGTTAGGCCATGGCTATTGCTGTCAATTTCTCTTCCCAAGCCCTGAGGCAGAATACATTTCCCGGGGCAATGGCAGACCTTGGCCTTTATCTTGCCTTTTAAAGCTTCACGCCAACTTGAGCAAAAGAGGATGAAGCAGAAGCTGCATGGGTGGCCATTAAAAGGCGGGAAAAAAATAAATTTACCGACAACCGCAGAGTCTCTTCGATCATGTCATCGGCAAACATTGATAGTGACTCAATTTCGGGTCAACCTTTTGCAGCTGATACCATCAAGCTTTTCTACGAGTGCATCAATGAGAAAAATCCTAAAAAACTTGGGGGTTTCCTATCAGAAGACTGCTACATCGAGGACTGTTCTTTCTTCAACCCGTTTAATGGGAAAAAGGTTACATCCCTTTGCTTTATAAGTTTTTTCACGTATCACAATTCCACTGCTCGATTTAGAAATGTATTCGCAGGAAGTTATGCATTTCTTCTATCTTCTCGTGAGAAGCATGGGTCAAAATGTGAAATTCAACGTCGAACATGCTTGTAAAGGGGATGGCTTAACAGTAGGAGTAAACTGGCATTTAGGTAAAACATTATACATGATATATCAGCCACTTTTTCCGAGCTTTAATTTAACTCCCACGGCAACTTGAGGGATTATTTTCTGATATTGCATAATGGAAACAGAAGCCGGTTCCATTCGCAGCCGCTTAGATCTCATTTATACTTGCTTGTTTTGTTTCATTGATTGAATCTCAGTAAGGTTTATTCCTTCTATGATTTTTTTTAATATTTATGATCTTCAACTGAAATTTTGTTCTCGTTTTCTTATAGATATCTAATTTATAGGTTTTGTTTGTTTTTGTGGTAGTTTTAATGGGTTCAATTTCTGTTTCTTGTGCTTTACTACAATAATGTTAATCTTTTCGTTTCCTTTGGAACCAAAGGTTCGTTCTTCATCGTGATTGGTGTGTCTCATTTCGTCATATTTCGAGAGAGTGTAATAGAGTTGCTGATATTCTCGCTCATTTGGCGTGGTCGTTTCCTCCTGGTGTGGTGATTTTCCAAGCTCCTCCTATTGAGTGTACCACTGCTTTGCATGCAGATGATATTTTACAGCAGCAATATATGGTTACTGTGTTAAACAACCGGTGTTGTTTTGTTTCCATCCTCTGTATTAAAAAAAGTTTCATTCTTGATCTTCTAATTTGGTACAGAAGATTTGGATTTGAGTTGAGTTTTTAATGCAGATATGTTCATTTATTTGATCTTTTCGTTTCCTTTGACATCAACGTTTCTCATCGTTCTTCTGGCTGTAGACCGTTCGACGCTGGTACCGTCGCTTGCAATGGAGGCCACCAAGATGGGACATTTTAAATATTTTAGGAAATATTTAAAATATTTTAATATTTATTTTTTAATAAATACCACATCATTATGGAACCATATCAGTAATTTGGTTGATGTGGAAACAGATGGCGTCCACGTAAATAAACTAACGGTTTCGTTAGTCAAAACGGTTAAAAGGTACAAATTGATGCAATTAAACAACTTCAATGGTAAAATTAATACGAAATGGGTGAAATTGATAAATTTTGTCTATTACAAGAGCAACAATGACGCTTAAAATTAAAAATTATTCGTTTATACAAAAAGACGAGAGACAGACTCATTCGTCTCACAAACAAGTTATGTTTCATCTCGTCTTAGATTATATATTTTTTTTCACTTCAGGTGAAAATGAAGCAAAATTAAACGATATTAACCTAATTCATATAAACTCCGTTGAATGGTGAACAACATCATATATATAGGGAATTCCAGGGAACGAAGTCGATTCCCGCTACAATTTACATAAACATCCCATAGGAGAATCTCTTAATGAGCTGGATCTGGATTGAATTCCACAGACTCCCTCCAAATAAGCTCTTTGATGTGATCTTCGGTGCACGATGGTTGCTCGAAATCGAAACTGAACGGTCGAGGACAGACCGGCTCGTCGTTGGTATCGTGAAGAGATGCCAAGTATGGGTGACAAAGGGCCTCCTCAACTGCACAGATGCAAGAAAATAGTTAATCTCAGTTATGGGGGGACCGAACAGATTCTAGTTTCTTGGCTTGTACCTGTAATTCGTTTGTTGGGGTCAAAGACGAGCATTCTTTCTAGCAGATCAACAGCTGCAGCAGACATGTTTGGGAACCTAACTGAAAACTGTTGCTTCCTGCACTGTGGGAGCTGTCTGAAGTACCTTCGGGCGTTGTTGCTTCGGAGAAATCCGAGACTGGTTTCGTCCGGTGAACCGATCAACTTTTGTACACATTAAAAGAATGTTCAACGTTAAGAAATGAAGAAACTGATTTATGTCTAGAATGGCAGACCGTAGGTAGAATAATTGAGTACCTCAGTGATGAGTCTCAGCTGATGAACATAATCTTTGCCAGGAAACAGGGGCTCTCTGGTCATAATTTCTCCAAATATGCAACCAACAGACCACATATCAATTGCAGCAGTGTATTCCGAGCAATTAAGGAGCAACTCCGGCGCCCGGTACAATCTAGTGACGACGTACTCGGTCATGAAATCTGTTTCAGACGTGGTCCTCGCCAATCCGAAGTCCGCGATCTTAAGGTCGCAATTCGCATTCAAAAGAAGACTGCTTGGCTTAAGGTCACGGTGCAAAACGTTGGCAGAATGTACATACTTCAGCCCTCGTAACAGCTGATATAAAATGTACTACAGAAGGTTTCATTATCAGATTCATGTCATATGCAATATTTGGTGAAAAGTAAGTTAAGTCAGTAACATAAATGTCCAGTCCCCATAGCATCTTTTCTCCAAACCTGACAATGATCATCTCTCAATGGTTGATCGGATCGGATTGTGTGATGAAGATCGGTGTCCATCAATTCGTAAACGATGTAAACATCGTTGAAGGTCTCCTTCTTCGGTGGTCGGATGACATCCTTGATGGTAATGACCTGCAAAAAGAGAAGTGGAAGCACAAGATCAGATACTCATTAATATAGGAAATGGTACAGAAAGGGCGTTGGAACATTGAACACTGTATGGCAAATGCCTGGTTAAACCTGATAACTAAATCCTACGGTTGCATGTAGGATCAAGGGTGTAAATGAACAAGAGTTCAATGAACTGTTCATACAACTTTCATTTATGTTCGTTTATTAAGTTAAATAAATGTGTATGAATTTTTTTATGTTCATTTAATAACCAAACAAGAACATAGACGTGTTCGATTCGTTTATGTTCACAAACAATCTCGTTTATAAGCTCATTTATCAACTTGTTCATAATCTCGTTTATCCGGTTCTTTTTTTTACATTTTAAATATTATGAACTTTGGGATTAAATTGAATACAAGGTGCATTGGCGTTCAAACTGTGAAGCCCAAGAAACTTAAGGATTAATGATGTAATTTCATTATTTTTTCACTTATAAACAAAAGGATAATAAGAGGATGTGCAACAAACATGTTCGCATACGATTAAATGAACATGTGATGAACCTTAAGCGAATATGTTTGTAAATATTAAACAAATCGAACACGAAAACCTCTAAAGATAAATAAACAAACATGAACCTAATATTAAAATTTTAAACAAATATTAATTGAGTATTAACCTGTTAAAAAATAAACAAATGAACATGATCTTATTCATTTAAGATTAGTTAATTTACAGCCGTAGTTGCATATTTTGTAAATAATTATAAAGAGGCGTGGCTTACATTTTCGTGGTTCATGTGACGAAGAAGCTTGATCTCCCTCAAAGTCCTTTTGGAATCCACAATGTTATCAAATGCATTACCAATCTTCTTGATAGCAACCTCTTGACGCGTCTCTGAATTAACAGCAGCACTGGAGAAAACAACAGAAACATACCCAGAAAACAAAAGAATCAACCAGGAAAGATAAACAACAATTCGAAACAACACCAGATAGAAGAAAGAACCCATCAAATATTTCAACAACAGCATTAGAATAGACTTACCAAACAATACCATTAGCACCTCGACCGATAGGACGAATAGGAGGCACGTACTTACTGGACACCTCAAACAGGTTACCGTACACATTGTAGTGTACATATTTTCCTCCATGAGTCAGTACTCCCTTCACACTGCTTCCCTCGGAGCTTGACTGCTTTGTACTCCCAATCTCCTTCATTTTTATGTTTGTTCTTTATCTTCTTTCTCTTCTTCACCTGCTAACCTTGAAACCAAGTTATTAACGTAAAAAAAAAAGAAACTCAGACTAGGTTTGTTTATATCTGGAGAATCATTGTTGGCAATTTTGGGTTTTTTTTAGTAGTTGTAATGTTTCTCTGCACAGCAAAAAAATGTTTTTTTTTTTGGTGAAACTCAGGGAAGGAGAGGTTTGGTTTGTTTGATATGACCCAAGTTTGGTGGGTCGAAATCCGTGAAATGAAAGGAGATTTTTGAAAAGTGGAAACTGAAGTGATCCATCCGGCCTTAACATGTGGTATCTTTTAACATCAGCCATGCGAGATGGTGCCAAGTATTCCCTGTGCCAACTGCTTTTCATATACGGTGGTTGTGCTGATCACGGGACGCTTGCTGGGCAGGTAGCATGGGGGCAACTCAGCTGCACATTTGGCCATGGTTTCCTACACTCGACGCTTCATGTGGAAGACGGGATTTTGATATACTTTTTTTATAAAAAAAAAATTCTCTTCGGACCATAAGCCCAAGAGATCATGGAGAGAGAACTCAGCCTGTTGCGCCGTGACTTCATAGGACTCTCATGGCCTCCCATTTGCAGCTTGAATGCTGGATTTAGGCCCATGTTGAATTACATTATGATTGGGCATTAATTCATGTTGGACTATTACTATTTCTTGCCCTGATGAATGCATTTAATGATGGACATTTATTTGAATTCGATAATTTTTTATTGAAATAATCTTATAAAGTTAGTTTTTCTTAAAAAAAGAAATTAGGTTTAGTTAGGTTCAAGTCGATTTTTTTAATTAAGAGGTCAGATTCAAGTTTAGAGTAAAAATATTCAACCCGGCTCGAGATGATAATATGATTATCCTTTATTTATTTACGAATAATTGTAATAATATCTTTCTCTATATTTTTTAGGACTCTGCTTTACCTAATAAAATTGAATTATATATCCGTGTGATGTAAGATACAAGCTTTTTCCTCCAAAAAATTAGGTCAAAATTCATGTCGAAAAAACATCTTTAAATCCGAATTGGATGACAAGTTTTATTTAAAAAATCGAGTCAAAATTTAAGTCGATAAAGCCTCATTAAACCCGATTCAAGTAAAGAGTGAAAGAATATAATACTTGAGATGTCTTTAAGTAAACCAAAAGTGACCCAATTTATGTCCATCCCTTAATATATCATGTTAAAAATACAAAAATGTAAAATAGGATTTAGTAATTTAAGCTTTATTCATTGCCATTCAAGTTCAATAACTTTTGAATTCATTATTCATAAGTTTGAGATTCAAGCAATTATGTCTATAGGTATGTGTGTGTTATTAATAACTAAAAAAATTCTAATCAGATATTATCGTGTAACTATATTACACTATTAAAAAATTTAATAATCTTTAGAGAACATTGCTATAACTATTATTTTATTTAAGATTAATTATTATTCAAATATTTTCAACTTGAAAATATTTTAGATTTTTTTATTAATCTATAATAAGTACAAAGTAATATTTTTTTAAAGATAATTTTCTAACAATTCGATATTAAATACTTACACCAATGATATTTTTAATATTTGAACTCGATATCTTTGGTGCCCAAAAATCATTTTAGATAAACAATAATTAAGGGGGCCTAAGATTCCATGATAAATCACGTTTCTAAACCGACCTTGGTGCGTGTTGGTCAAGGTAATGGTCCTCATTGGAGTAGTGATTTCACTAACTTCTAAAAAGCCGACAACACTACATAATTCAAGCCGTTAAAGGCTCTATCCTTGAACATTAAAATATTATTGGAGTGAGTGAATAACTGATACAGTTGACAGGTATCCTCCTTTTCTAACGGCAACCCATAACTAACATAACTTTCTCCTGCACATGTAAGATGTGACTTATTTTTAATAATATTATAAGTCATCTCATTATGATCTTAAAAACTATATTCTTAAAAATAATTTAATAGTAGTAATTTAGGGTAAATTCTGTAATTTTTTGGAAGAAAATTTTATAATTTAAATTTACTTTATGATGATTTTCAAATAAGGAATAGTAAAAAGTGGTTTAAGTAATCATAATAATGCATTGAAGTTTTAAAATTCAAACTAGCAATGGACTTAGTGGGACTAGAGGCGGATGCACGAAGCTTTTAGGGGTCATTTACATCATCGCTTGATTATATTTCATCATTTTAGTAAAATTTCCGGCTTCTAAAAGAAAATATATATTTGTAAAATTTCAATTGAATTATTTTATGATATATATTTATAATAATTTTAAAATATAGGATTATTCTAAATGGGGGAAAACAAAAATAAAGAAAACCCTGAGGGTGCGTTTGGTTCACAGAATGTAAGATTATCAGTGAGAATAAAAGATTACCAGGGAATATGATTACTGAGAATGTTGTATTTTGTATTTGGTTGGTTTAGCAGGAATTTAAGATTATCGTGGTTAAAGGAATTAAAGATTATTGGAATGTATATTTGACTAAATTGTCCTTATTATATATTTATTTTTTAACAAGTTGAAAAATATTTATATATTTTCTTTAAAAAATTTAAATTCATAAAATTTATATATATTTTTTTTACAAAATTGAAAATATAAAAAAGTTTAATGAAAGGGTAAAATTTTATTTTAACTCATAAATTTCATATAAAATTTTAATTATAGATTTTTTTTATAAATCTAAAATAGTTTAAAGATAAATTTGTAATTTAACCTTCGTAGAATTTTTATTAGTCAATGACATGATAAGAATATTTTTGAAATAAAATTTTTTAAAGGCATTTTAGTTCAAAACGCCGGTAATCTAACAATACCTAAAGAAATGGAAGTAATGACATTCTCGATAATATACCTCTAAAAATCTACTATTAATAATGTAAGATTATCGTAAACCAAACGGGAGAATGTAAAATTCCCATGGAATCTCACATCACCAAACCAAACACAGCCTGAGGAGTGCCAAGTTAGCTTACCAAAGAAGGAAGGAAAGAACGGGTCGTCGTCCCCGACAATCCCACTCCCATAAATTTCGCTCCCGTTATTTAACTCTCTAACCCTCCTCCTTCTTCTTTCCCTAACACGCCCCTCTTTCAATTTCCCAAAAATCTTCCATCACAAATGACGGGAACCGATACCCAAAGCTCCTTCTTGGGACGAATCAACATCAGGCGGAACCAGGTCAACGCCATGGATGGTTCTCACGAGCAAGAGATTGAGGACCTTGACCTCTTCCAGAAGCAAGTATCCGATCGCTTCGCCGAGATCTTATCCGCCCCCGATGACTCCCCCTTTGATGCCTTTCTCTCTATTTCCTGGATACGCAAGCTCCTCGATGTCTTCCTCGGCTGCGAAGCCGAATGCAAGGCTATTCTCTTGACGGGTCGTGATGCGGCTCAGATCTCGAAACCCCCTCTCGACCGCTTGATCCCTGAACTCCTCGACCGTGTCATTAAGGCTTTAGACATTTGTAATGCGATCGCCAATGGTTTGGAGTTGGTCAGGCATTGCCAAAAACTGGCTGAGATTGCTGTTTTGGCTTTGGAACAAAAACCCTTTGGTGAAGGACAATCGAGGAGAGCAAAGAAGGCGTTGGTTTCGTTGATTTCAGCAATGCACCTCGACGATAAAGAAGGCAGCGCTCATAAAACGACGGAGAGGAATTGGTCGTTTGGTCGCCGATGTGCTAATAAAGATCAAGCGCCCTTTGGGCATTACAAGTCACTTTCTTGGCAGGTGGCTAAGAATTGGTCTGCTGCCAAACAGATTCATGCCATGACTATGAACGTCGTTCCTCCACGTGGACCGGAGGCTTCCGGTTTGCCCTCCTTGTTTTTATAATGAACTTGATTATGGTTTTTGTCATGTGGGTATTGATTGCTGCGATTCCTTGTCAAGAGAGGAATGGTTTGACAACTCATCTTCCCATTCCTAAAACGTGAATTGGACCCATACTCTGACCGGTTTACTTGAAAAAATTGGTGATGAGTGGAAGAAGAAAGAGAAGAAAGGGATGGCTGGTTTGTTATTCGAGATACAGAAAATGGAGAAGCTTGGGCTTAGTTTGATAGAGTTTACCGATTCGTTTCAGTACCCTGGAGAGAAAGATAAAGTGGAGGAAGTGTCTAAACAAGTAGCCGAACTCGCCGAGGTTTGTCGGCGAATGGAAGAAGGATTGGTGCCTTTGCAGATGCTGATCAGGGAAGTGTTCCATAGGCTGGTAAGAAGCAGAACTGAGATTCTTGATGTGTTGGACCAAGGCGCCAAATCATCTGCACCGGTCGTGTAACTATGTCAATTGTAAGCCATTTTTGTGAGTTGATCTTTTGCTCCGAGCAGGGCCTAAAAGGGTTCTTTTAATTTAACACAGACTTCAGGCACTATGGTTGTGGTGAAGCAAGCATTCCCTTTGTGTAGAGTTTGTTTTATTTTTTAGTTTTGGCCCTTGTTTATATGTCAACTGTTGTTTGATTTGAGTACAGAAGCTTTGAGGCAAATGTAAATACTCATACTCTATATAACATTTTGTATTCAACTGAAAGTTTCTCACTTCCTGAGCTTTGTTTTAGCTTTGAAGCATATTTTCTTGAAGGTTTGGATTCCTTCTTCGAATTCTCCTTTAAATAGACAAGTTATAAGGGGGATTTGGATTGGGAACTGAAAAAAATTGTGCCTTCAAATCACTTAAAGAATGCCTCCAAAGGAGAATTGTCTAAGGCAATCTGTTTTTTTGTGCTCTGAGTTCCAGTTACCCTGTCTCACAGTGGGAACCATATGAACATAGAAAACAAACCTGAGACAGTTTGCCCGATGGAGGATGTTAGATATAGTTTGAACATACAGTGGAATGTATTGAATCTGGGTTTCCTTTTAACTTTAGTATTCACTTGTTTCAACCCTTTAATTTTCTAAAAGAACCAGAAAGATTTGTTCTTTAACGACTGCTAAAAGCTTTGCTAAATACAAACAAGTATGATAAGTCATATTGCACTTTTCACTACGAAAACACCTTCAAATAACATGTCCCCAGGTCCACTCTTCACTTAAACCCGCTGCTATTACTGCAATTGCTGATCCTTTATATCAAATTTCAGTTTTTCTAAGTAGTTCTCCCTTTCATTCTTTTTCACAGCTCGAAAAGCAATGGCAAGTTTTATCGAGCTCGCTCTCTGGTGCCCTCACTCTTATTCTCTGACTCGTCCTCCCCCTTCGTCTGTCCGATTCAGAAGCTTCACCAGAAACTTTGTCGTTTCCTCTTCTTTTTCTAATGGCAACCGAAAGTTAGTTTCTCCGAATCAAAGTTTTCTTCTTTTCCGCTTTCCAGTCTGGTTAACAATTTCATGTTTGTATAACTTGATGGAATCTGGGTTATTCGTTTTTTTCTTGCATCTGATAGACTCGTGATCGTTTGTCGAACATGGTATTTATCTTTCGTGACCTTCAACTTCATGAGCTGAGAAGCAGATACTAGCTTGTTCTAACCTTCTAGCCTGCTTCTCTTGTCTGATTAGATGATTTATGACTTACGAGGATCCAGTTAGGAGTATCGATACAGAAAAGCAAACCTTAACTACAAATTCAGGCAAATTGATCAAGTATGGATATCTTATAATTGCTACAGGATGTACAGGCTACAGCGTCAAGATATCCTCATCAGTTTGCGTCGGCCTCCGATTTAATTGTCCTAGATTCCACACAAGAACTGGTGAAATAATAAAGACGAAAAAGCAGTCACTGATTTCTTGATAAATTTATCAGATTCCCAGATGCAATAGGTGGTAACCTTCCTGGTGTGCACTATATTCCGGATGCATGACCATTAGTAATTTTTCCTTTCAAGCTCTATAAGTACACATTTTACCATGACAGATGTATGACCGCACGGCACGAGTTGAGCATGTTGATCGATCAGCACAGCATTGTATCAAGGCATTACTCCGTGCACAAACTCACGCTTGTGTGACAATTTATCCCTTTTTCCCTCAAGCCGAATATCTATGATGTTAAATGCATTCAGTGCTGCTCTTTCATCCTGAAAAGTTGATGACTTGCATCATTACCTTTTTATATTTTCCAGATATGATTATCAGCCTACTTTTACTCGAGAGTTTTCGAGTATGAAGGGAGCCCCAGGGAAGTTTGCAGGCAGTTCTTTGGGGACAATGGTGAGAATATATTGTACGTTGCATTTGAAACAGTACATGTAAACATGTTATCTCACTTTTCAAGCATAATCCTTTTCAAGTATAATCCTTTATTGAATCGGTCACCCTTACAAATTTACAATTCTGCATTTATCTTTTTCTTAGTATTTCATATAAACAAAAGAAAAGCAAGAATAGTATATATGTGCATGAGCAGTGCCCACCAGTGTTGAGCTTCCCCCCCACACAATATTGCATTTTTTGCATGCGGGGAAAGACCCTAAAAATATACAATTATTGAAGGGTTTCATTTAGATACTGTATAATATGGTGAAAAGTCTGAGTTGATGCAGCTTAAGTCCTGGCTCGGACGAGTGGCGATTGAGGTAAGGGAGAATGAGGTGACATGATGCTCGGTGACATGAAATCGTCCCTTCTTCGAGAGAAGCTGAGTTTAAGGCTGCTTTGTGTGCATAGTTTACGAGGAACCATGGCCTCATTCTGCCTAAACATGAAGGTTCTGATTCTCAACAAAGCAACTTCCATGGTGTGATCATCCATGTTAGCAAAGCATACCCTGAACCAACCTGGCTCATTGCAATGGAAAGAAGAACCGGGGGAAACGTTGAGCTTTACTTTGTTGATTATCACCCGCCACAGATCCATTTCGGCTTCGAACGTCTTCTCTTTCAAGAGTTTACGCATATCCATCCATATGAACAGCCCTGCATTGCTCTTCAAAGAACCAATACCAACTTGAGAAAGACTCCAAGTGAAATACTTGTGCCTTTTGAATAACTGCTCTTTGCTTTCCACAATAAAACTATCTACAAAATCGTCGTCGAACAGCATCGATGCAATTAAATGCTGCGTTTGTGAGGAAACCAGACCGAAGCTGGACATTTTCCGGGCACAGCTCACCACTGCATCGTTGTACGAGTACACAATTCCGACTCTGAAACCAGGGAACCCCATGTCTTTGGAAAGACTATAGACAATGTGGATGAGATCACAATTACACTCTACTTCCTCGATGATCTCGGAAATACTAACGAATTCGGGTTCCATGAAAACTGTGGCAGCATATATCTCATCACCGATCAAGTGTATGTTCTTTTCATTTATGAACTTCACAATACTCTTCAGCGTCTCTCGATCCAAGATGGTGCCCAGGGGATTCGATGGATTGGTTATGAGTAAACCCTTGACTCTCAGGTTAGCTTCTTTTGCCTTTTCATATGCAGTTTCCAAGGCATTCCTGGTGATCTTGAAATTTTTCGAACTCTCACAAACGATCGGAACAAGCTCAACACCTGTTCTCCACCTTAATTCGCCGTCGTCGCCTTTTTTGGCCAAGACCACCGCCGTCGACATAGTCCCTACCTTCCTCCTACTCATACGTCATCGTAGTTTCTGTTGATTGGTCATCGGAATCGCATGGGATCACAATTTTCATCCTAGGGTTCGTGGGGTATAAAACGTTGATTCGTCGTCGATCGATCACAATTTCATGGGGTTTTGGTCATCGGGGGGAGGGGGGTTGGGTGGAGCTTCGTCGACTGTAAAAGACGGTGGTTGGCGTGGGTTTAGGGGTTGAAATGAAGGTTTTCAAAGTTTTGGGTTTATTTCAAAATTTGTGTTTCCTTTTTAATATATATATATAATTTAATTTTTAATTTTAAATAAAAAATTTTAAAATTATCAGGTTGTGACACGTGTCACTTAATGGATGAATTAATGTCGTTGACGGCTCGAACATCTAAATAGATAACATTTGTAACATTAGGCACCTGGATGAGTCAAAAATTTGTTTAGGCACCTATTTGAGAAAAGAGGTATAGTTTGGGCACTTATTGGTATTAAGCCAAAATTAAATAAAAAATCAGGTCAATTACAAATAGCTTATGGACAAACAAAAAATTGAACTTACGTATGATTTCTATTTTACTCACCATACTTTCAAAATTTTCAATTTTTTCACTCAACTTTATGGACTGAACTTTTTTGGTCGCTCCACCGTTTTATCACTAACAGATCGTTGACGTAGAATATTTTAATATTAAACATGCCACATCGGATTTCCACATAATAATAATAAGGGTAAATTACAAATTTGATAACTAAACTTTCATATAATTCCTATTTTACCGTACTTTCAAAATTTTCAATTTTGCTCATTTTTTCGTTAAACTTCTAATCGTCAACGATCGTCCACCGTTGCCTTCACCGTCGAACCCATCTCCAGTCAGTAGTGGCTTGCATCACCACCGCCAACAGCACTGGCGATGCCTCCCGATCAAACCCCTGCCCTTCACTGTTGATGAAAGCTCATTGTTCATTGTAAAATCATAGGAAATCGTTAGATGACTCACCGTTGATCTCATTCGTCGTTGAATGGTGACCGTCACCGCCAATACCGGTGTATGTGTCAGGCCACCGAGATCAAAACCCTGGTGGTCGATCGTCAAGGCTCCCCGTCGTTTGTCGTAGAGAAATAGTCGAATGTTCGTCGGGAAACCAAAGCTTCCCATCGGTTTTCATTGATTTACGAACACCCCGACCGCCTGCTCGTCTCATCGCCGCCACTGTTGATTTCCTCTCCTTTTTCCGACCAAAAATCCAGTCGATTTTCCCTTTCACTGTCGCTGCCTCTGCTGGTCTGTCGTTCGTCTAACCCCGCATAGTGACAAAAAAACTCAATATATAGTTGAGTGAGCAAATTGAAAATTTTGAAAGTACAATGAGTAAAATAAGAATTATATGAAAGTTCAGTTATCAAATTTGTAATTTGCCCTTATTTTTTGTAGGATATAAAACGACGTCGTTTTTGTAGAGATTGCCATGTCATAACACCGTTAGCTATTTAACGGTTGAGTGACCAAAACAAGAGCAATTTAAAAGTTGAGTGAACAAATTGAAAATTTTAAAAGTATGGTGAGCAAAATAGGAATCGTATGAAAGTTCAGTTATCAAATTTGTAATTTACCCTAAAAAATCGTTTATAGAATTCAAAACATTTTCCATCACAAATATTCCTGTTCGGTAACAATAATGGAATCAGTACTTCTAAGTAAGGAATGTCACACACACGCTATCATTACCGAGTGTTACCACATGTGTGTCCTAAAATGAACAAAGCCAAAGCCATCCCATGTGATGATCCCACACCACATTCAATGCTAACTTTTTCCAATGCCTACCGACGTACATACGGGAGTAGGGATGAATAGAAGGAAGGATACTCATCGTCTTGAAAATTTTAAATTCTCATAAAATTTAAATATTTTTTTTTTACGTGAGTTGGGCGAGTGGCTAAATCCAGTAAGTGGTCTCAATCAACTTTATCTGGTATGGCCCTTTGTGGAATGTAGTTTAGGGAAATTAGAGAGGCCGGCGTACACTTTGACAGGTTCAGGAGTCTAAGCAGTTTGTATTCCTCGAGTAACCAACGAAATATTTTATTTAATTGTTTATTTTTTAAGATATTTGTATTCATTTCATTTAGCGTTTATAAACATGCTCGTTAAATATTCATTAACATTTTCTAACGTTCCTTTATCAAACTGGTGAAATTACACCACTAGTCCTTGAACTTCATAGTTTGAACTTTAAAGTTTATTATGTGTTCAATTTAATCCTTATCTTCACCAATATTTAAAATATAAAAGAAAAAGAAAAAAGAGAACCTCATATAGAAGGTCATAAATGACTCGATAAACGAATTTTCAAAGGAACTTATTCATGAATATAAATGAACCAAACACACCCCGATTCATATTCGTTTGTTTATTAAATGAACATAAATTTTGTTCATACTTAATAAACTAATGTTATACTAGCAATTCATCAAACGCGCTCTATTCATTTGCACCCATATTCCACTAAAGCAGTGTCATTTGTACTTCACCACTCCTCAACACGGCATATTAGAGCTATTAATTTGCTTTGTTAATGCATGCAAGACAGTCTTATAAATGCTTCCAATTAGTAGATTTGGCCTTTGTTTCACAAAAAATGCATATGACTTCAGTAAAAAATGCAGCTCCAGGAGCTCCAAGTTTGATTTCATCCATGTGACATGGAATGAATACAAATAAAAGGATGTATAGAGCTATACATGATACGCTGGTAAACCAACAAGAAGTTTGATTTGTACACACAAAACGTACAAGTACGACATCCTAGTTTACAACAATGAATAAGCCGCTCTACAGTTTCTATAACAGACATTCAGTAAGAGAAGGTACATTACATGGGCGCCAAAGAAACTAACGAAAATCTCATTAGGAATAGGAGGTCGAAGCCTTAACTTGCTTGCATCCATGTTCTGGTATTAGCTGTTCAGTGGCAGCCCTCTTCGGTCTCAACTGCAATGGAAAGCAGTAAGACACTGCATGAAATACTCACACCTACTCTAAAATTATATGCACATGTACACAAATATGGGACTAAGAAATTATTTTGATGCAGTCTTATAACATGAAAAATCATAAAAATGAGCTACAAACCTTCTCTTCAGCGTGCTGATAGAAATTTCTAATAAGGATATTTTTGGCCTCGGTGGTTATAACTGTTAGAATGGAAGAAAAAAAAAGGGAATTATAACTGTTAGAAGTGTTTGAGAGGTCTATCACAAATAAAGAAGATGTTCACACGAGGATTTAAAAACTATTCATGATAAAATTTCAAGAGTTTAAGTGGATGACCTATGGCACTCTGCACTAGGATGCAATTTGAAGCTACAACAGTTCAGAACAGACAGAAATAAGATCCTCGACATTTTCATTCCAATTGATAAACTTCATACAACAATTTAAATGATTTAAGCGATACATTCGTTATAAAGTCTGTAACAAGTAGTTACAAGCATAAAAATAAATTTCTCAATCATAACCATTTATTAAAAAGCCTAGTTGTCAAGACAATACCATTATAAAGCTAAATCATATGGTATAAAGTCCCAAGTCAGACATCTCAATATTCACATTCTAGAAGGTAACGCTACCAAGTAATTACAACAGTATATGACATCCATTATAAAGATATATTGTCATTGTGTGGATAAATCTGTAAAAAAGAACACTAACCATACCAGATGGTTTAAAATGCCAAGAATATCTCACTCCCACTTAAAGAAATATTGTTTCACAAGTAAACACAAGGAGAAATAGATAAATGTTCAATACCTTGATCAGGTGGCGGAAGAGTCCGGTTATGAGTAGGGCGGTAGGTGACAGGCGTTGGTTTCTAGCCAAAAAGAGATTGTTAGAATATAAAAAGCGCAATCAATTCTTAACATGACTGAATAATAAGGAGAAACATTTTATGCTCCTAAAGCATTCAAGTCTAAACATACAAGAGAATTCAATGTAATTTTTGTTAAAAGCCAACCTGTGGAAGCAAAAAGTCTATTTCATTATATTCAAAACATAGAAGAGATCGATATGAACTCCATTCAACAGCAGAGCATCTCACCTGTTGAAATAGGTCAAAAGGATAGAATGGCAGGTGAGAATTGCTCTTATATCATTTGGACCTTTCAACTACATTGAGCTTAAACGGGTGTCACAACAATTAACCAAGGAACCACTGTAAACAATTGGAAACAAATACATATATGTATACAAGTCTACACTCAGGTATACCCACATAGAATTAAACTCTCAGCGTCTGTCTTAGCTAAAGCATAGAATTCTGTAACCACTAACAAGAACCGGTATTAAGAGCTAAAACTACTGAGTACAAAAGCAGATCCGGAAAACTTCTTAAGAACAAAGTTGAAGTCATGGTAGCTGGTAGCTTTTGATTGTTATATTTACACGCACTGGACAAAATCTCAAGCTGAGGAAGAACAGTTGCCAACCATTTTAAGGGAACTACGCATAAGAAAACATTTCAAGGCTAATGCTTGTGCTGTATAAAGCTATTTCTCATTTCATCAAACAGATAATAGCAAGTATTAGCATTAATTAGATGCTTCGAGTTATCATCATTCATCATATTACATTCCATTGAATTGACTTTGATCAATCTCCTAAAAACAAGCGTATTTTACAATGCAAAACATCAAATCAGCTACATTGACAGTACCAGAGTTGGAATTCCATGAACAATTTAAACCCTTCAAATCAGTAAGCATATATATATATTCATTTGTAATCACAAACAACTTCATCCAAAAAAGCTTCTGACAACTAAACGATTAAATGGACAACGGCATTAAGGTCCAAATTAAAAAAAAAAACTGAATTTGATTATCAGACTACTAAAATCATATCTGTGTAAACCCAGAAACCTACACATAAGAATGTAACAATATTTCGCTACTCATCTAAATTGCGTAAGTGGGTTTATTGGAGCAAAATCAGTGCTGAAACGAGAAACTGATTCAACTCGAACACAGAAATGGGGATACTTACAGAAGGATCAGAATGACCGCAGGGACGAAGTTGGCTGAAATTGTGGGGGTCAAACGACGGCAAGTCTCCGAGCAAAGATCCCATTGGCAAAGAGAAAGTAAAAAAAAAAACTGGTGGTTTACGGCCTACAATCAGAGAATCTAATGAAACTAGAGAGATTGGAACAGGAGAGAAAATGATATCCAGATCACGAGAATGGATGACCGGTTTCTAGAATCAGCCTTGTGTCTGTGTGCCGGTGCTGAATGACTAATCGCTAAATTGATTATATATAGGCTTAATATAAAAATAAGTCCTAAATTGTACCTCAATTAATTTTTTGGTATTTAAAAAAAGAGAAAATAACTTCAGTGATTGAAAATATCTTATAATATACGATTTTAATAAAAAAAAATTTGATTTGTCAAAATGACCAACAAATTCGTAACGCGAACTCCAATTTCGCAACGTGAATTTAACTATCGCATTGCGATTTTCCAAATTCGCATTGCGATAGTCAAATTCGCAACGTGATAGTCAAATTCGCAACACAAAAATCAAATTCGCAACGCGAATTTGTAAATCACGACACAAAAGTCAAATTCGCAACGCGATAGTCAAATTCGTAACGCGAAAGTCAAATGTTTTTACGCGAAACACAATATTAATTTCGCAACACAAATGTAAACAGTATTATCGCAAATCATCTCTAACCTAAAACCCTAAATCACAACTCAGTCCCATCTCCATCTCTCACTCTCTACGGCGACATCCGTCCCCATCTCCGACGAAATTCGTCCCTATCTCCGACGAAATCCGTCTATCTCCATCTCTCAGAGCAACCCTCACAACCATTCACGGTCAGAAATGAAAAATCAACCACTGATGGTTAGTTTTTAATCTCTTATTTTTATTTTGAATTTTTTGTATTATTATTAGATTTTTCTTATATTGATGATAAATTTACTGGTAAACTGTTTAGTCTTTAACCCTGTGAAGTTAGTATTTGTCTTTGTTTTGTCTTTTTTGTTGAAGAAACCCTAAATCGCAACACAAAAATGAAAATCGCAACGCGATTTTAGTTTCGCGTTGCGATTTTCATTTTCGCATTGCGAATTTAAGTTTCAGAAACTTCTTTTATTCTACAAATTGAAACTTGAATGAATTGCATTACTTCAACCAAAAAACAAAGACAAATACTAACTTCACAGTGTTGCTAATTTAAGTTTTAAGAATAAACTACTACTCTTTATGTTGTCTTTGAACCTGCACTAAACCTATATATTGTCCTTTTAAATGTTTATATAAGTGCTTACTTCTGGAATGTTATCAGATGCATTTTGTGAACTATGATGGAATAATGACTTGGGTGAATACCGTGCTAGTTTGAAACATATTTGGCTTTGTTTTCACTGTTTAATATCAAGTCTATTTATAGTGTATAATTTGTAGTTTTTGGTATATCTAACTTGGTATGTTTATTGTTTTTGTAGAATTTTTTTTCGGCTGCATTGACATTAAGGAATAAATTAAGCCTAGCCACTAAAATTACGTCGATGCTTACACCTCTACAAAGAAAATTGTTTGAGGATACTTGCTTCGGGCCATGGCTGAAAGTGCAACATACGGGTGGAGATGTTATGTTGACACATTTGTTTCTTCAGACCATGACTAACGATCTACCCCGAGGGGATACAACGTGGTGATGAGGAGATATGGTTTCATTTTCCTCCGTCACATACTTATTTTGGGCGGGAGGAGTTTTGCTTAATCACTGGTCTATGCTTCGGACATGATGATGTAGGTCGGTACACTAGTCATATCGCCCGCCCATCATGGTTATCTCGGGTTTTTCCTGAGCTGGCAAAGTCGAAGCCAAGTTTACACTTCTACGACTTGAAGATATTATTTGATAAAGATGGTTTTACTCGGATGGATGATCTTGATGTTGTCCGAGTATGCCATTTATTACTTTTGCATGCCGGCTTTTTAGGCAAAGAGGGAAGACAACCTATCTCCGAGGACCTAATATTATTGGTAAAGGACCTAAATGCATGGAACCTATTTCCGTGGGGTTCATATCTATGGAAAGCTACCTGGAAGAAGTTGTCGTCTGCCTTTGAGGACCGAAAAAGTTTGCGGGGTGATGGTTCTAAATACACTTTGACAGGCTTTACTTGGGCCTTTAAGGTAATAATTTCTATATAATGTTTCCAAAATTATAATTAATTATTTAACAATTACTAATGTTTGTGTATTATATTGTTTGTAGATTTGGATATTTGAGGTTTTCCCCAGCATGCGGACATATGCGATAAAAAGATCAAATGATATTTCTAGGGCTATTACCTGGAAGAGGATCCACATGTTGGATTGGGAAGAGTTACTCCCATATACGACGATGAATGATGTAAATTAACACACAAATAATACCATATATAAACAAGTTATTACTAGTACAAGTTTAACTTTGTTTGAGCTTTTATATTGTTAAGAGGCCAACTATCCATTACAGAGGCTGACACCCACAGAGGCTGAGCTTGCCACTGATTGGTGGCAAGCTAGTAAGCGGTTTTTTGATGGGACAGATGATGAGAATCCCCCACCTCAAAAGCCATCACCTGATCGGGCCGATTCTACAGCTCGACACCTGGAGCCATCCACCTGATCGAGCCTCTTCTCCACCTCCACCATCACCTATTCCATCACATCATCGAGCCTCTTCTCCACCATCACCTCATGATAAGCGACCGGCTAAGAGGCCACAATATTTATCTCCCTGTTCTCCACCTTCACGGGATGAGTTAGGGGAATTACGTGATGAGGTCGGTGCTTTGCGTCATGAGGTCGGTACTTTACGTGAATATAATGGTGTATGGCGTGATGAGGTACGATCTTTACGTGGTGAAGTGGATTTTTTACGCGATGACAATGGTGCGCTACGTGGTGAGGTATCTACTTTACGTGATGAGGTTGTCGCTCTACGCGAGATTGTTTCATTATTGCAGAATGAGATTCATACTCAACGCAATGAGGTAAGTTTGTTTAATACTATACTAAAAATGAAAATAACCTTTTTTCAGCATTATTTATTTATTTATTTACTAATTTATGTATTAATTTATTTTCAGCGGCCCGATAAGGTAGATGCTTTACGTCGGGTTTTTCTTGCACGACGGGGTTCACGCATCAGACGTCGTGCACATGCCATTACGTCTCCATTCACCCCACTAGTGCCAAGACTCCGTAAGAATAAGCCCGATGCACCTATCATCATTCAAGAGACACCTCCTATTGTTCAAGAGGCCCCTCTCATCATTGAAGAAGTCCCTTCCACCGTTCAAGAGGCCCCTGTCATCGTTCAAGAGGTCCCGCCCGCCGTTCAAGAGCCCGATTCACATGGCGTCATATGTCGACATATTGATAAAACCCTCCCGTGCTCGGTATGATGGATGCGAGTTGGCTTTCGTATGTGTTACCGGCCAGTACCATTCCTCAGTAGGAGAGGGAAATACTACCGGACACAATTACGGATAATACCCTTTGGGCTAAGACCGCAGTTGATTTTTATCTACATGAGCGGAGCAAGGGGTGTTATTCTGACCTATGCCAAATCGACGATGCTATTCATTTATTTCTTGATCGGTCTTGGTGGGGTATTTTATTAGGGGTTGAAGATAATGGCTATCTCGAAGGGGTGGTAAGTCTTATATTCTTCTTATATTGCATTTTGATTTTTTTTAAATTATTAATAAATTCACTAATATATTTATTTTTTTATAAAACAACATATTGATGCATGAGTGTCACGTCTTCTAATAATAAGGAAATTGAGGAAAAGAGGTACTCGATGGACTATTATGCCGACGTCTTTTCACGCAGCTCACTTGAAGGATCAGAGAGATGCTTCATATACGTTGGGTAATGGAAAAGCTAAACTTTATCCTGCATGGTGGGAGGTCGATAAGGTTAGTATTTATTTTTTGAATATTTTAAAGGTTTTCATAAATTTTATTTGATGTGCGCAATTATTTATGATTGCATGTGTTTATCCCTATTTTAGAACGTCGTCATTAGCTTTTCGTCGAGCTTCAGCTCCCATCCCTGAAGACAATGGTATATGACAACATGTTGAATTACATACCATTGTTTGATTTGAGAGATATTATTACAAAGGGATGGAGCGATCATTTGGCTAAATACTTGGATGCGATTGATTATTGGACAAATTATGGAAACAAGAAGCCAAAGAAGTTCAAAATTACAATGATCAGAGACGAGATTGCGCCACAACAAACGCAGGGAGCCAGAGGGGATTTTGGTCCTCTCGTATGCTTGTGCTTGGAACGTTTGACGACAGGAAGTAAACAGTATATACCTCCCACAGATAGAGATAGAGGTGCAGTATGCTTGTGGTTTCGGCATTATATGGTCAGATCGATATATGCGAGACGCTGCCTACCTGCATCCGCATGCTGAAAGTGTGCATAAACAATTGGTAAGTTTGAGCAAGTGTTGTTAACATATATACTCTTTAATTGGTTTGAAAATATTTGGTTAAGTACCTAGAATTCAATAATTTGTTGTTTGTTGGTTTTAGATGTGTAGAAAGTATTGTTTAAGCAAATGTTTGGTTTCTGTAGGTTAATCCTGAAGTGAGCTGCGTGAAATTGATGTATTTGTGCATAAACAACAGTCTGGGGTACATTTTTTTTGTTTTGTTTAATTGAATTTTACATTGAAAGTTGATTTGTTTAATTGATGAGGAAATAAGATTTATTTTTTGATTAATTGATTTGTAAAAGTTGATTTGTTTAATTTGATGTGTAAATAAGAATTATTTTTTTGCTTGTTTAATTGATTTGTAAAAGTTGATTTGTTGTTTCTAAAAAATTCAATCTGCATTATGTTTGAAGGAAAAAAAGACCTATTGAAGGTACAAATTCGTAACGCGAAAGTCAAATTCGTAACTCGAAAGTTAAATTCGCAACGCGAATTTGGCTATCGCAACACGAAATAAGCGTTGAGAATTTGACTTTCGCGTTGATCGCAACATACAACATCAAGGTATATACAACATCAAACACATTCCAAGCTATAAATACAAGCTAATGACACTTGAATAAGCAAGAGAACAACTATCCAAGCAATCAAACACAAGAGAAAATCCCAACATGATAACAACTGAACAAATCATAGTAATGTTCAAACTCAAGTTGTAGATTTTGATTTCCTTTTGCTTGGCACCATATGAGATTTGGATTTTGATTTCCTTTTGTTTGGCACCATATGAGCTTTGGATTTTGATGAGCATCAGAAGCATTTCGGACTTATGATTTGGGTGGTACTCAGAAGCATTTCAGACTTATTATTTTGGTTATTATTACAAGTTGTAGCCCTCAATTATCGGGATTTTTAGTTGTCATTTGTTGCATTTCTCGTATACCACCCAGATCATAAGCCCGAAATATTTCTGACGCTTTAAAGTTGACCAAAAATTACGATGGTCGGGATTTCCCTCGCGTTTAAAGTTGAAAAAAACAATGGAAATTAGGAATAATCAATGATAACATGCATATTGGCTTGGGCTAATATTTATAGTGGAGCCGAAATTTATATTGAAATTCAAACTCAAATTGAAATTTAAATTCAAACTCCAATTACATATGAAATGAATTTGAAATGCAGTGTTAAATTGAACCTGGAAATTGCATAATTGATTCATACTGTTCAAGTAACATGCTTTATGAACCATCAAGCTAAAAGACAATATTGATTGAGTTCAAAGCTGAGTTGTGAGTTGATGGGGTTGTCACACTTGTCACATGGTTTGACTATCGCGTTACGAATTTGACTATCACGTTACGAAATTGGAAACTGGGTTGCGAAATTGGAGTTCGCGTTGCGAATTTGTTGGTCATTTTGGCAAATCCAAAAAAAGTTGGTTAAAATCGTATATTATAAGGCATTTTCGGTCACTTAGGTTATTTTCTCTTTAAAAAAATAGATGTTTAGATTTTTTTTCTCTATTATTTTTTAGGGTCTACTATTATTTTTTAATTTTTTAATAATAAAAATATTATTTAAAATAAAAAAATAAGAAAAATCAAACCATCACAGTACCCCACTCTCACTCATCCCCACCTTAGACTACGATAAAGGATTACCATCGACTAGATATGTTTAGGGTAGAACAAGAAATTTAATGGTGGTGATGCTTTTAACGATGATCTGTGTAGTTTACGGTCGGCGAGAGACTGAGTTTTGATCATGATGATGAGATGGTTCTAATAGGGTCAATAGTGACGACTACGGATCGACGGTGGGCGATCGATAGTGGAATATTGGAAATTTTTTTAATTATAAGATTAAATATTTTTAAATATTTTTAAAAAAATTATAAGCAAGACACGTGTTAGGTAACCACCAAATTAACGGTCGTTACGATCCAGACACCTAAAAAAGTGTAACGTTGAAATCGTTAGACATATATTTTTAACGAAAATTTTTTAAACACCAAAACTCAGTTTGTTATATAATTTTGACACTTAAAATTTAAAAATATTCAATATAATTCTTTGACTCATAATGTACATAGTTAATCGTTATAATATTGATGTAGTAGTATATAATAATAACGTGATGATTTACGATAACTGATGATATGACAT